GGCTTTTTAAAATCTCATCCAAAAATAAAATATAATTTTATGATTTCGACAGACAGTTACCGACATCATAAATATTTCAACAAATTTACATCTTCAAATCAAATCAAAAGATCTTAATTCATTTGTAAATACATATTTACATGAATGGTGTCAAACAATGAACACAAATAGACATGAACAAGTAGGCTACAATCAACATTATCGACCGGTAGGACATTATTGAACACACTACTCCAAGTTGCTGTTTTCTAAATTTTGAGATCTATTATGTGTTCTAAAGTTTAAAAAGTCATCAAATGAATAAAGTGCTCTCTGTATCAAAAATTCTTTCAACTTCACTTTGAAACCTATATAATCCTGCATGCTTCTTACCTATGTGATTTAGGTAGGCCTATGTGATATAATATTACATCACGATTACACGATTATTGGTACATACAGCCAGAGACAAGTGGATACAGAGAATAGTACAGAAGGAAGAGGATTCCTTTCACTCCAGGCTTGTTTTGTTTCCGTCTATGTGACGGTATTTGAATTGAATTGAACTGCCGGAAGGTGCGCCGGACTACAGAGTACTTCAGATTATAAAGTGTCAGTGTCAGATTAATGAGTAACAACTTTATTCCTTATAGGCAAAAGTTAAATTCAAAAAGGATTATAAATACATGAATCACAATCAATAAGATAAACTTTTGTACAGTGGACTCCCAAAGAAATTTCAATGAATTTAATTTCTTTAGTATTGTTGCTAAACAGATTGTCATTCCCATATAACACTATCAGAGATTTTATTAATGTTATTTTCAAATGCATCATTTTTTAGACTGTAGTTTACCAAGATTTTTCAACTTGGCAATTCCAAATATGAAAACAACCAAAGAACAAATCTTGAAAAAAGCTCATTTACAATTTTCTTTGTTGGTTAGTAATTTTTCCGAATGCCATCTTTGACGTCAGCAAGATATCTGCCAAACATGCCTGGATCATCAACAGGTCCAGGTGATTAACGGCTAATGTTTGCAACGGAAGGTCCTGTAAGGTTAATGGCTAAACTGAACGATTCACAAATCTGATCATTAGCAAGTAGATCTCAATCATCGTTCATCTTAGTACCGGTTCTGAAGTCTGTCAAAAAGCAAGATTTCTTCCCATTAATTTTTATTGATTCATAAAAAGTACTATAATGCATTCCTTTGTCTATATGCTGAGGCTTTCCACTTCAGTTTTTCACTTTTTGCTAAGGCAATATATTGACTTCTATTTTCAGAAAATATACTAAGCACACTTTTGAAATGGTGTTGGTTTTTAACTACAATAAAAAAAGTTTCATTTTGAGGAAATTTGTCTCATTCAAGAAAATTTCTGTGTACTATTACACATTTTCGACACATTTGAAAGTCAAACATTTTTATACTCCTCTGACTTTAACTTTTGACTATTAATACAACATTATCGAATCATAATCGCACTACTTTTTAAATTTGTAAAATTTCTCCGATTTTTTACGGTTTTTTTTATTGAACATGTATACCAGCTAGTCACACATAAAAAAAATACTTGTTCAATAAAAAATCCAAGAAATTTTAATAGAAGTAGGGCGATTTTTGAAGGTGAAGGAGTGCGATGTTCGGAAAACGCCTACAAAACGCTTTTGTACGTTGTGTGCAAAATGTAATTCCTGACCTTGAAAATTCTTTCAAATCTTTGCTATCTCTTACCGTTTTTAAAAGCGGACAAAAAAATTCAAATTTTAAACTGCCATAACTTTTGATAGGATGGACGTAAAAATCTCTAGTTTGCGCCATTCTTTTTCTTTTTTCATGCCCTCACATTTGATATGTTTAAAGGGGTACCTTGCAATTTAAACATTTTAAGTTAAGGGTAGGGGGAGAAAGGGGGTGAATGGGAACTTCACATGAAATTCACAACAATTGTGGCCCCTAAGTATTTAGACGATTCCCGCAAACTGCATATTTCTAACTATTGCAGCTTTAGTGAATTTCCCATATAGGCAATAAGCTATTACCATATTACTCATGGTAAGACCTGGACCCGGGACTGATTTACTTTTTTGTTTTGGGGTCCCTAGAGACCAAAAACACCATCCGATCAAAATTATATATACAGGGGGACATAAAAGTCTGGAAAAGGCTCAATATATTTTTAACTAAATTCGTTAGAAAATTCAAACCTTTCACATCAGTTTATATGTATGAAAACTACTTTTTGCAAGCATTACCATTTTTTTACCTTCACCAGGGGACGGCCCATAAGGAGTAGATACACAATCTTTAATGTAAGCATAGGTTGATATGCACATCATTTCAAAAGGTCTGGTCAAGTGGAGTTCATTACAGGAAACCGCGTCAAAAAAGGTCCATCCGTTACCAAATGGCGGCAGTCGAAAGTTATTGCGGAATATACCTGCACATGCCTTAGTATTGGTAAATACTTATACCGTAGTCAACATTAGCCGGGAAATCTGAAAACCGGTTAAATTTGTTTTTAAGATTGAATAAACCTATGAGCTAGTTGACTTTAAAATACAATTTCAGCTCTCAAGCTAATGTTTAATACGAGTATTTATTTACCAATACGAAGGCCTGTGCAGGTATTTTCCGCAAGAAATTTGGACTGCCGCCATTTTGTAACGGATGAACCTTTTGATACGCGGTTTCCGGCAATGAACTCCACTTGAGCAGACCTTTAAAATGATGTGCATATCAACCTATGCTTACATTAAAGATTATGTACCTACTCCTCATGGGCCGTCCCCTGGTGAAGGTAAAAAAATGGCAATGCTTTCAAAAAGTAGTTTTCATACTGTACATATAAGCTAATGTGAAAGGTTTGAATTTTCTAACGGATTTAGTTAAAAAGATATTAAGCCGTTTCCAGACTTTTTTGTCACCCTGTATATATTTATATATGTGTCCGTTAGCGCGATAACTCGAGCAAAAATCATCCAATTTTGATGAAATTTGGTACAAACGTGTAAACCTGCATTTATTCGAACGAGTTTGGGAACCAGCATGATCGGACTATGGGAACAGGGGTTTATTGGGTTTTACCTAACCCGCCATGTTAAACTTCCCTATCCCAAGCGTGATGTATATAACTTCGTTACTTCTCGAGTGATGTAAAGTTGAAAAAAACTCACTCGGTGATGAAATGAAACCCATTTAAATAACATTGAGTGCTTAACTTAAAAAATATACCTCTATGGAGCCAACGACGTTCAACGCTAGAAATCAGCTGTGCGCTTGAATTTTATTGTTATGTTTTGAAGAATTTTCCTAACCTAGCTTTTGTTTGTAAATGAACGTTACTGTTAGAAGATGAGTGAAATGGATAATGAAAAATATTGTTCGTAACCTCCTGTATATTGTCGGGTCATGTAAAATCTTGTACGTTACACGTACGCAAGAGCGTGTTTACATCACTTCGGTAAATTATGCAACTCGCTTCCGCTCGTTGCACAACATTCACCTGCGTGATGTAAAAACGCTCTTACTACACTTGTAAGGTAAATAGCTATTATTGGACAAAAATTGGTTTTTACCATTTTTGACCCTAAAAATTAAAATGTAGCACTTTCTTTCCAAACCATTTTGTAGAGCTTAAAAAAACAAATAATTTAGTATGTTGAAGCGTACTTATGCGCCTAATGGTTACGGAGAAAATTCCAAAAAACTGTAAATTTAAAATTCCCATGTTATTCTTAAGGAAAATAATTAAACTGTTGTAGTTTGCTTGTTTATGATCATATTTTGATCAAATTTTGAAAATGCATTCATTTCATACTAAACTATTAACATCATAAAAAAAAAAAAAAAAACACCTTTTCACCCTCCCTGTTGCAGCAAACCTAAGTACTCGTTAAACTAATGTTATTTAAATAGGGAATAGATGTGATATTTTTGGAGACATTTTAGTGTAAATCCAATCAGGCAAATGGAAATTTGCTTAGTCTGCAGTTTTGCTGCGGCGGGGGTATTTACATACATAAAGAAGCAAGTTAAAAAAAAAACACCTTGTATAAGTTAATCAATGAAGAATTACACTGATACTACCACTGAATAAATAGTTTGTGCTATTTTGTGTACAGCTATAAGGAACACATTGACTGAAGTACATTGTGTGTTTCAAATAACAGCAATATCATTGTTCCAATGAGGAGAAACTACATCGCACTGACTCGTTTATCTTATCACAAAGCATCCATATTTTCCACACATAATACCACACTGTTGTTTATTATCATTACCTACCCTTAACATTCACAGTTATAAACCTGAGTCTTGAAATTGTAATAGAGTTTCGGTTTGTATAAAAAACTTCAAAGTCAACAGTTGTAACACCATCACCATACAGGGTATCCCACAAAGAGGTTTCCACTATTGATTTTATATTACCAGCCCATTTATGATCTGAAAGCTTTGAAACTTTACAAAGTTTGTAGAGAGGGGTTTGAAAATATTGTGTGACCATTTCAGCTACCCAAAAACCGCAAGCCTGATAAAAAGACAACTTAACCCATCCAAGTGTAGTTTTACTGATACTTAAGTTTAAGGGAATGAGTTTAATTTTGAACAAGAGGTAAAGTGTTTTGTGTGGGATATTGCTTTTGTTAACGTTACAGAAACAGCTATTTACCACCATTTTGTTTCTATAAAAGTTCAGAAATTGAAATTTTCATATAATATTTTCAAAACCAACTTTATAATTATTTAAACAAAGTTTCAAAGCTTTCCATTCATAGGTAGGCTTGTTTTGTTATATAATATCAAACATCTAAATTTCTTTGTGGGACACCCCCGGTGTCCCCACCCCGGTGTTGTAGGTCTACCAATACTGTGTCGTTGATGAAAAATCTGGTTCATTTTTACATCTGCTACAAATTCAAGATCATTTTTCAATTTTTCTGGATCGTCCATGTTAAACTTCCATGTTTAATCTATGGTAATACTGTAATGGCTAATAAACAATTTTGTTTTCAGATTTAAGGACTTTTCAAGCTGCACAAGACACAAACCACTCCCAGGATGGCCAGTGTAGTTAGATATGTGGTGGACACATACACGGACATAATGGAGAACAAGAGTGGTAAGTCAATTTTTTAAAACTATAAACTCTTAATTCTACAGATAAAGTCTATCGTCTATCAGAAAGTTTTTTTTTTACCATATAGTTTTCAGGTAGCTATCCAGTACCTTTGGTAGAGCCTGGAAAGAACCATAATATTTTTTAAGCTATCACAGTTTTCTCAAATGTGATTTCTTCTCTTATAATATCACATACCATTTTCGCTCATTAGATTGAGACAAAATTTTGCTTTTGACATTGACTGAATATAAAGATATGTGCATCCATCAGTTCGCATTACATACACAATGTGGCGATACTATCGGCGTTTTAAAAATCATCAGAACCATTACGCAGGATTGTATCCTCAAAACTGGATTTTCAGACCATGTGCGGGTTTAAAACGAAATGTGGGATGAAACAGGATTTTCGACTCTGAGGATTGATTTTCTTTTTTACAACACTTTCCAGATGAAAACTAACCCCAATTGAATAAATTATTCTAGTACACCATCCTAACAAGGTTTTTAGAGCTATTTGTACATGATGCACCTTAAATGTCACTTGGAATGAAACTAAAAATTCATGTAGGATGAAACCTGATTTTCTCAACTCGTAAGCGGGATTTTGGTTTTGGTCGTGTGGAGACACTGTCCATAAGGTCTTTACTGCACAGTCAATGGGAATCGAATATAACCCGGTTGCATCATGTCTGCTTTTTTTGTCTGAATGCCAGTGTGACATCCCACAAACACTATCAGTTATTGGGAACATTAAACCTTTGATTGTAGATAGAACTAGATATTCTACTCCCCAGTTAAAGTTATCGCCAGTTTTAGATTGAAAATTGACTTTTTGAATCAAGCTTCAGAGTTTGCTGATGTCAATTCTGACAATGTGATTTCTGTTGATTGCCACAGCTTGTCCATCTGGATGGGATATTGTTCATTTTCCTGGCAAAAAGAGGTTGTAATGTTATTTCCTCACCGTTTGTTTCCATTTCAGATCCGCGGGTGAAGGATTGGCCGCTGATGAGTGGTCCGTTACCCACAGTGCTCATCTGCCTCTCATATGCTTTCATTGTCAAAGTACTGGGACCCAAACTGATGGACAAGAGGAAACCGTTCCAGTTACGGAAAACACTGATAGTCTACAACCTTCTACAGGTCATCCTCAGCGCCTGGCTGTTCTATGAGGTATGTTACAATAGTTTGTTACAATAGTGGTATGTTATTTTACAATAACAATAGGTTTACAATAGTTAAATGAGGGAAAGTGTGATACATCTCAATGAAATGGATTGATCAGATCAAACTACTACAATGATAGTCTAGGGGAAAGATGAACAATGAACAGATGTTCAGTAGAAATTTGCGAATCCAGCTTGGGGACTTGGTCTCTGGCAGTGATGGATTACTAAAAATGCTGGATTACTTACTTGTCTTACATTATAGTCGAGTGTGTGTGAGTGTTTGTTTGTGTAACTAGATGCCTAAGTGAATGCTATGTGATATGATTGATTATTTACACACTGAAGAGTTGAATATTTATAAGCATTTAACAACAACACTTTGTTTTTATACTAAGTTGTAATATATATCGTCTTTTCTTTGTTTTTCCTATAACCGTCTTTGTATTTCCTATGACATAACATAATGTATTTTGTTTAGTCAATCATGGCTGGCTGGTTCACTACATACAGCTTCCGTTGCCAGCCTGTGGATTACTCCAACTCTCCAAAAGCACTAAGGGTGAGTAACAAACAAACATAGTAACCCTAGTTTATCAACCTTTAAAATGTCAAAACTAATTCATTATTAAGTTTACTTTTGTGGGGGGTTAAACATTAAGATCCTTTACTATACAGGAATTGTTTGGGAAACCATCTTAAACTTATAGTCCTGTTTCTGAATGTTTTAACATGGAACTCAATCATAATTAATAGTCGAGGAAATGACAAATCAAAAGCTCAATTTCTAATTAAGATGAAACATCAAAGAAACAAATGTGATGGAATATTCAGAATGTTGAAAGGAATTAAATATGTGTATTTACATTTTGAAGAACTTCTTTCTATTGAGGTTTCTATTGAGATGTTGTAAATTTGCAAGATTCTTGAAATTCAAGGAGTTTCTTATTTATAAAGGTTTTTGTCCCTATCCATATTTTATTTTGAACATCTGATTTTTTACAGACGGCAGCAGGGTGTTGGTGGTACTTCTTTTCAAAGTTTACTGAGTTTTTTGACACTGTAAGTATTTTAAAATCACATTTTGCAATACTTATGGTTGTTTTAGTTGTTAATAACACGGTTTAGATCATATTGTCCTTAGATTTTAACATAATTATGAAATCTAGACAAAGCAAGTACAAAACCTTCTTCATTAGGTATGGTGCTTACTGCTCATCTGTTGACTTTTGATACAGCTAGTAGACTTCTCATCCAATAGTGAAATCAAAAGCCTGGTTTTGGTGTGAATGCACGATGTCGGGTCAATGTGTTTCTTTTAAGGGTACATTTTACAGTGTATGCTCTATTGATACAAGAAGAAATCAGGGGTTAACAAACTATAGGGTTTTCTTACTCTCAGTAGAATTATAAATCTTGTGAATACCATGTCTATATGACACATTACTACCATTATGGTGATACATTACTACCAGAAATATCAATGGCATTTAGTATCCTACTTAATTTATTTGGCCTTTGAATGATCAAATGTCTGAAACCGAAACCGTTTTAAATTATCAAAAGTAATTGTACTTCAATCTATAATTCACCTATGTATTTTTCCAGTTCTTTTTCGTTCTGCGCAAGAAAAATGAACAAGTGTCCCGGCTGCATGTTATCCACCATGGAGTCATGCCTCTTAGCACCTGGTTTGGAGTCAAGTTCTCGCCCGGTAAGTATATCAATGTACATATCATTATAAATAATTTTAGAGCTAATGATTTTATCTCACTAATTAACTCATAATAACATCCTAAGGGGGAAAAATACTTACACCGACCATGAAATTTTTTTAGAACAAAAATTTAGAAGAATCTGGAAACAATGTGATAAAGGAAACACTATAATTTATTAATAAAAAATGTTAAAAGAAATCAAATTATCAGGCAGGCGTATGAAAAACTTTTGTTGGACTTGATCATGGTACCAACAGGTAAATAGCTGTAAAATGGTTTCAGGTGCAAATCACAAACAATACACTCATTCTGTCAACGTACGTTTGCTGTTCGATCAACATTCACTTTAGGTGGAACCCTTCTTTCAAGCTCTCCCATAGCATCATAGTTTTTACACCAAACAGCACTAACAGTTGTAAACCAAATGCTCTAGGTTAGTGGTTCTTAGCTTGTCTACTAGGTTTGCGATGGAAATCAGTTATTAATGTAAGTTTCACTACTGGTCCAATATGTCTTCATTTGAGACTTAAAAGGTCCAACAATGAGTTCTGATGTAAACACTATTTCTGTTTGCAGGTGGTCACAGCACATTCTTTGGAATGTTGAACACGTTTGTCCACATCGTCATGTACTCCTACTACCTGCTGGCTGCCTTCGGACCTCAGATGCAGAAGTACCTGTGGTGGAAGAAGTATCTCACAGCACTGCAAATGGTAACAATCAAACTATTTACATATAGAAACCAAGTATCAAATCACGACAGTTATGTTAAGATTTTGTTATGTTTGTTATTGTTAGTAGCCTTTGGTTCGACACTGGTCCCAGCTGCCTTTGATCATTATATGGTCCTGGCTAAAAAAACAAAACAAAAACAAACGGATTATCTAGTCAGTAACAAAGCTTTACATCTCACCTTATCCTTCACTCATTGTACATTCATAATCAGTTTTAAATACCCATTTAGGTCTGGGCATTGCTCAAAGTAATAATTATAATGACAAACAAAAACCTCTTGTATATTCTTCTTGTATGTCTCTTGTATATTTTCCATCGTTCACCTTTCAGATCATTGACAATCTCTTCTCAATAATAGCTTATTTCACATCTTTTGGGAGAATAATATTGGCTTCCTCACTGCATTCAATTTTTGGTTTGATTCTTATCTTCTCAAAATATGCAATTACCATGTCATTGAAGTGAAATTCTATAATGAAAAGTTCCCAAGTTTTGCTCAGCGGTTTGTGCTGTGTGTTTCAGGTTCAGTTTGTTCTTGTGATGGTCCATGCGTTCCAGCTGTTGTTCATTGACTGCAACTACCCGAAAGCCTTTGCCTGGTGGATCGGACTGCACGCTATCATGTTCTACTTCCTCTTCGCTGACTTCTACAAACAGGCCTACGCTAAGAGAGACGCTAAGGTAATGTGATTTGGTTGTTTGATTTTTGAAGTATTATAAAAGTCAGTTTTCGAGGGTGAGATTTTTGGAATTTAGCACTTTAGTAAATTATTATAGTTATAAGGAAAGGTTTTGGTTATGTTCTTGATGGTTGATTTGGAGCTTAAGGGGTTAAATGGAGTCCAATTAAATTATTTTTGAAAAAAAGCTAATGTAGGTATACAACAAAATTTATTAGAAAAATAGTTAAAACATTTTAAGAATAGACTGATATCCTTATCATACCAACTGTATAATGTAATTTTGCCCATCATCCTTTGTAATTGCAAAAAAACTCAAAAGCTACGAATTTAAGTTTACCTAACATGATTAATCTGTCTACAGGCTAGGGCGGCTTTAGCTAAGAAGAACGAAGATGCCATGCTGAATGGTAAAAGTAACTCAAACGGTTACACCAATGGGTCAGTCAAAGGACATACAAATGGACACGCAAACGGAATCTCTAATGGTTTCTCCAACGGAACAGCAAACGGCAAAACTCTGTCAAATGGAGTCAACGGAGTTTACAGTGAACCAGAGAAAGGGATGGAGTCGAGTTACACAACTCAAGACTCTTTGAGAACAAGAGCTTTCATCAACAAAGACCAGTCGTAAACCTCGTAGTGACATAAGTGTACAAACATTCAAGCCTCTCTTAGCCTATAATTATTTATTTGAGACATACAATTTTGTTGACTCCTATGATCTTAAGAGGAGACTGAAGGAGTCAAGATGTATAGCTTGTGTTGAAGAATTAGTGGTTGAAAGGTAGAAGTCTTTCATGAGAGTACAGTAGAACTCCAATTATCTGAACTCAAACTATACGAATCTCTTACAGAAAGGATTTCTTAGAGCCACAGTAATAAAGTAGCTATTAAAGATGATCAAACATAATCATTGGCTCCCTCGGTCACAGAAAAATCTTCATCTTTTTTACATGATGGGGGCAAAATCTTGCATATCTCCTGTGGTCTTGTAGACGTAATGTTATTCACTTCTAGTCACGGAAAATCATAATCGTCCTCCGTGATTTGCTGGAAAGTTGAATGTTTTGATCGACATATTTTTGACAGACGAGTTTTACGATCATGATAGTAAAATCCAATTTTCTACCTATTTTTACTTTGCAAATTTTCTGTAATACACCCAGAGTTTCGGTAAAAAACCAATCATCTGAATTTTTTACTATCCGAATGTGGTACAGTACCAATTGATTTGGATCGTTTGAGCTCTACTGTATATGGAAGACAAGATCATACTTAGTACAAAGTGCCATTTGTTTATTAGAATTAAAAATGATTTTGTAGTTCACCTACTGAATTTTGCAGTGTTCTATTGTGTTATGACCACTTTAAAGGGTTTTACACCCCCAGGGGGATTATGATGGTTATGTTTTAACCTAATACACAAGTTATATTTGCTCAAAAAAACATGAATAACCTGTTGAATTTTATTTAATTTTTTTTGTGCATGGAAAATGCATCTTTTCCCTGTTAGCAAGAAAATCAAAACGTTTAATCATTGGTATTTGCTAGAAAATTGTTGTAAGAAGGGATGGTCTAAAAATGAAAGAAATGTGATTGTTTGAATGGCTTCACATCTTATCTTACTAATATTATAAATCTGAAAGTTTGTGAGTTTGTGTGTATGTTTGTGTGTATGTTTGTGTGTATGTTTGTGTGTGTGTTGCTCAATCACGCATAAACTACTGGACGGATTGGGCTGAAATTTGGCATGATGATAGCTCACATTCCCGATTAACATTATAGCATATTCTTATCTCAAAAACCCTTTCGGGCTCCGCCCCAGTGGCTCTGTAGTTCCCCATGTTAATCTTATGATTTTTCATATTTAAAAGTAATTAATGAATCTTAACAGCTGTTTCAATTAAACAAGTTGGTTCTCTTCTATGATGTTCAATAGCATAAAAGTTACAAGGATTACCAACAGGGTGCAGCACTATTATTTTATTTTTTTATTTTATGACAGCAGCTAATTTCCAACGAAAAGGTGAGTGAGCGTAGCGAACGAACTTCAACCTGGAGGCGAGTTAGCGTAGCGAACGAGCTAACCTGAAGGCAAGTGAGCGCAGCGAACGAGCTCCAACCTAAAGGTGAGTGAGCGTAGCGAACGAACTTCAACCAGGACGTGAATGAGCCATGCGAATAGTTATGAAGTTAAACGGGGCGAAGCCCGCGGGTACAGCTAGTATGTATATAGTTTGTATGATACTTTATTTAGTATTTTATTTGGAGAAAAATACAAATCTTATTTTTCTGTTACGATATATTTACCTCTTGAAAGCATTGCAAGAATAATTAATTAACTTTTGTACATTCTATACATATTTACTTTAGATTGTAGGGTTTTGTAAATTATTTACTTAAGTTTGCAGTACTGGTTGTAAGTAAGACTAAAAAAATAAGATTTTCTTACGACCTAAATAGTTTATCTAAGTCATAATTAATTTTTAATGTTATATCTGTTGCGTAGTAAATCGTATTTAGTGTGATGAAACTGTGCCTTTGTCTAGGCATACAAACTGATTCAGAAAATTATTTATCAACTTTTTTTTATTAATTTGCTATTAGATTAATGATATTTTTTATTGTTACAAATTTTAATAATGTACTTTCCAAAGTTCCATGTTCTTATACTACTTAGGTATATTGAGTTAATACAGATAAGAAAGGGGTTTTTGTTGTAAATTAATGTCAATGCCTTGTGTATTATGTACACTTAGGATCATTCAAATGTTATACATTTCCTGTATGATGTTATTAGTTTTTTAAATAAACAACTGCAAACAATATCATTTTTTAAAGATGAAGTTTTTCTAACAAATTCCCAGTTTGATTTTTACTAATATAGTGGTACTGTTAAGTTAAAACTGGCACAATTTTTAAGCGACTGAATGTAAAAATCATATACCCGCAAATTTTTTTAGCTCTACAAAACGGTTTAGAAAGAAATTGCAAAATTTAATGCTTTCAGGGTCAAAAGTGGGAAACCCCATTTTTACAATATAACACCCCCAAAACAAAAAAGTAAATCGGACCCGGGTCTACCATGAGACCTACGGTAATAGCTTGTTCCCTGTTTGGGGATTCACTAAAAGGTTACTTGATTGAAAGCCGAAGCTTGATTCCTACCAACTTTTATTTTTATTTTTCCTGTGCATTTTGGTTTGTATGGCTCACTATTCAAAAAAAAAAAAAAAAAAAAAATAGTAATACTGTAGTAACTAAATATTTTAAATGTGAGCAGATAAGATTATCTTACCCCCTTGTGGGACAGGGGGCTATTTCCCTTACATGGGCAGGTCAAGGTATTCTTCATCACTCTGTTCAGAAAGCAGCTACATTATTTTTGATAACAGCCTATTACACTGACTTCAAGGAAAGTAATTGTTTCCCCAAGCTCTAATTTAGAGCAAGGGAAAAACCATCAGCTGATTTTTCCCTTGCTCAATTCTCCATTTGATCATTACATGAGCTAGTGTTTGTTTACTATTTATTTTTATAGTTGAAATCAGCTGTTTTTACTGTTTAAAATCTACGGGTGCGGTTGTTTAAGTAAGGGCTATTTTTGTATATTGCTCTATAGTTCATATGTAAGCCACTACGAAGCTCCTCGCCGCTTACTGGCATCATTTTTGAACAGAATGACACCATTTGCAGCTCCATGCACCACTTTAGCTTACGTGTGTGCTTTGTTGTGTTTTTTTATTGAACCTCCCGCCACGTGAGAGGTAAGTTCAGTGATACGTTTTTGACCACAAGAAACATACCCAATGCTGACACTTATCACGAGATGACTGAAGTGCTTAGGTTTATGACCCTGATGATACGGGGAAAAGTGCAGAAATGGGCTCGGGAGTTTAAAAATGGCCCTATAAAGGTTTATTTTGAAAGGAATTATGTGTCTGGGGAGTACTTAGACATCTCATAGAAGACCACAAAGCAAGTGGTTTTTACGGCCATTTTTACACTCTACTGTTTCCACGCTTTACCCTCACTCATTGCATTTGGGATATAACCTTCAGTCATCTGGTGATGAATGTAGGTATCAGCGTATCAGATATTATGTTTCTTGTAATCAAATGTCACTGAACTTATCTCTCAAGTGGCAGGAGGTTCAATAATTTGGGCCCTTACTTAAAAAAAAACCACCCTTGTAAAATGTAAACCTGTTATTCTGGACATGTGTATTTTAGGTTGTAATGAATAGTTTCGTCCAAACTTGTACCAAATGTGGTTGACCAGTACTTGATCCAATTATCCCCGTCCTCGGCTTCTTCTTATATGTGAAACCCACTCACACATTTCAAACTTCTCTACTTTGCCGTTTACGTGAGATTTGATTTGGTGTTTGACTTAGCCTTACTCGTAAAACTTGAACACACACAGGAAAATGCCACTTTCTGTACTTTTACTGTAATATACCTTCATCCTGCCTTTGTTTATCCTTGTTACTTTCCTTTCCTCCTCAAAAATTGTTTTAAGTTTTTAAAAAACTAAGTCACTTATCTTTCAGAGACAATGTAAATGGTGTAATATGTGTTAAATATAATCTTTGCTGACTGTAGAAAACACCAGTTGTTGATACACTAGTCTTGAAATTGTCTTGATATTTTAAAATACACTGATTTAAAAATGCCATAGGTTTAAAGAACTTCATAGTGGCAATATTTTGTGAATTTAGCTGATTAGATGGACGAATTTGTTCGTACAAAGTATTAATTGGCCAAACAGTGGATAAAAGTTAATTGCTGATTACAATTCACTGTCGCTTATAAAAGCATGATATTGTTTGGATACAAAATTGTACTAAGGCCAAAGGCCTAAATTACTTCCATTGTCCTAGGGACTTCAGATTTTTTTGCAGTTCCTAGTTTTTGGTTTAAAACCAAGGAATAATTTAGAATATAGGACACCAAAATTAATTTCCCCATTTCAGAATCAGTCCCCCTCAATATTTCTTTCTCAAGAACCCAATAGGTGTGTGCAATGGACTAAATTATTATAAGAGTTACGAAACATCCTGTGTACAGGCAAAATTCTTGTCATCTAGCAGGATTGTTAGCCTTACGTCCTAATACTCGAAATCTTTGAAACTTTACATAATCCTTACCATTTAAGCATTTTGGTTAATATACAGAATACAGATTATTGTGTCAACCGCTTCAAAATATGCCAGACACAAATGCTGAGAGTGCTAATATTTGAGAATGTGGAGGATTGCAATTTTAACCCCGCTAAATATAGAAATATTCCCCTAACTGTTCCTTAACCACTTCTGCAGTGCTTAGTGTTCAACCTTACCTGCTTATCCAGTAATTTATTAATTTATTACCCGGTAAAAAATTGTCCCCTGAGGAAATATCCAACGATCCCCAAACCAAAACCAAAAGGGGGGCCTGGACGTGCTAAGACGAGTATTGAATTATAACATTAAGCATTGCACCTAATTTTAAATGCCTTTCCACCCACAAGGCTTAACTAACATTTGTTTACATCCCAAGTAAAAAAGTCATACCTAAATACTCTGTGAATTGTAGGTTCATGGGTAATTTCAATACAAATTTATACTATACAAACATCATTTTAATAAATAGTGTTTAGTAAAAAACAAATCGTTGAAGAACATTAGACAATTTGTACACTTGGTTGTAAAGTAACACTTTCGCTTGAAACTATTTCATAAGGCAATAACTTAACAAATTAAACTGTCCTCCAATACATTGATAAATGTTTTGGATGAAATAGCTGAATGACTTTTTGTATTACTTGAATTTATTGACGGTTTGTGCTTCAGTTTAGTTTCCCAAATGATTTCTAAAACAAAAGTAGGCCTAATAATTCAACATTTTATAAAGCTAAAAGTAAGGTAGTTAAATTTTTTGTTAGAAAAATTTAAACTTTACAGACAAACTTTAAACGATAAAAAACCTCGAATAACTATGTTGTAACACTTATGGATAATACCCATAGTGGTAAAACATGCTTACACCATATCAACCAAAAAGCACAAAATGCCATTCACATATGATAGTGGAGTATCACTGATTTGATCTTGGACCTCACGAGTCAACGGGTAACTTAGCTGATTCCACTTATAAGCGTAAAGCGTCAGTACATTCATATCTTACTCTAACCCATATAGAAAGCTCGACCACTCCAACTCGGCTAACACTTATGACATACGACATACGGTACGCAATACACACAGTACCTATTTACATAGACATCATACTGGATAACCTTCCAGGCTCCCTAACAAGTATGTTAAAACTCTTTAGAATACATTACGTAACGTTATTCATTGATGAAAATAAGATAATTAGACTAAAACTTCAAATAGTTTCAGTTATGTAGGTCATAGTTGAGTGGATAACTAATGGTTTTAGATTATGTGTTTCTGTGAATATCGTGAAATTTAAACCTAGCCAATACATTTTTATATTTCTCTGACAACACATTTTTATTAACTTAGTATTTTTTTAAATAGTTAAAGCTATATGTAGCTGAAGAATTAATAATGCGGTAAACACTTAAAGTAAACTTAATGGGTAACATAATCAGTGGATATCACCAATAAAAACAGTGACTATTTCTGATTTTGTTTGCAAGGATTTTTAGTTTAATTCAAATTCTATCCGAAATAATATGGTTGCGACCAAATGTAAATTGATTAAACACAAGTATTTGCGATAGTTTGAATCGGTTCTTCAAGAACATGTCAATATTAAAATCCATGAATCCTATATCTATAGGTTTTTTACTAATGACTAAGTTTTTTTATAAATGTACATTTATAATAACCTAAAAATATACAATACAGATTGAATGGTATCATTCAGTGTGAGGAGCCATTATTTAACATGTTTTTGAATGTAGTTGGACTTTATAATGAATATCTTTTTCTTATTAAATCTGCAATGAAACAAAATATTTTTGTAACATTTTATTTCAAACAGAATGCCTAAACATAAATCATGGACAATTCTGACTTATGAAATTTGTCAGAAATGTACAGCACTTAGAAATTCTCAGTGTCTGGTAATGTAAGTTAAGTTTGATAAAATTTAAAATTACAGTGATATTAAGACATATTAAGCTTAACTGTAACTTAAATTTATCAAATCGAAAATAATTATTATTGAAGTTTGGTGACTTTACCACAAATACATTTGAAACAAAATATTGTGTCATGATTATTTTAGTCAAGAATTCAAATAAAGTGGCAATCATAAAAATGTCTATTATTTCAAATAAATCAAACTTTTTTGACTCCTCAATTCACATTCCCAGACAAATTAAGTAAGTGATGACTCGATAAACACTTAAAAGAATGAAAATATACATATAAACAACAAGCAAGACCGTAAAAACATTTGTGAACCAAATGTTATTGGCGGTCTTAAACTAACACATTTTGTAAAAATACAAAAATGGCATGAACATCTTTGATGTATAACAACAGTAGGAGCGGGAGCTCCGGTGCTACTTGACTTTTCTACTCTCTTCGTCCTGATTGGCCGGCGCGTGACTCGACATGTAGCCGTTGTTGATCCCGTTGGAGTAGCAGCTAGAGTAGAGAGCCGAGTAGTCGTTGGTGTATGCTGTCTTGCCATTGGCTACCTTTTCCTCTTTGTCTTTCAGTACAGGCTGCACAAACAAAACAATTAGTGATCATGACGAGTTGATTTTTATGAATTACTAAAAAAAAAAGAACGAGTTTGCAGTACCTTTATTCAGTATACAAAGGTCAGCACAACTTAGTAGATTGGCTATAAGTATCGAGGGACCAAAAATGCTTGGT